TTCCCTATCCCGCTGCTCGCCTTCTCTCCCCACTTACATGTCCACTCTTACATTGATCTCTCTTGCTCCCTGTGCAGAGCTGGAAAGTAATGACATAGCAACTACACTCGGCTTCCAAAGCAACTACATGGACTGAGATTCCAAGCAAATGCATACTACTACACTGAGCTTCAAAGCAACTTCACTAAGCAACAAAGCAACTAACTGTATGAAAAAAAAAAAAAAAGCTGAGCTGCTAAAGTCATACAACTAAGAATGCCTGTGAGACTGCAATGAGAGACTGGAGACTCTGCATATGCTTACCCCCTCGACATAAAGCAACTGGCACCCGAGGCAAATACCACACCACCACATGGAACACTGAGCTGCATGTCCCCCCAAAAAGGGACTTTCATTGTGGCACACCTCCAATGATCAAATGAGAGAGCAGGTCCCATAATAAGCATTCCATGGCAGCACAAAACATCGGTCAATGCAGGACCAAGGGGTGAGCCTGACCAAGCACTATACACCGTCAAACCCAGGGAGCCTGAGCTGTCGGTGGTGTCATGGAATGTTAAACCACCAGTACTTCCTAGAGTCGTGCCCGTTAAAGCGCCACGATTTTAGGAAACGTACGGGCCAATACAGGAGCGCCAAAATTCATCCGACTGGAAACATTTCTACTCTATTTTTTTCCAAGGCCAATAGCTGGGCCAAGTACTGGTGGTTTAACAGCCTAGCATCAATCCTAACCAACACAGATAAATGGGATAATCCTAATCTGACCAACTATCTGAAGATTCTGAACTGGTTTACAAGGAACCCAGCTGATATAGTTTGCCTACAAGAAAGTTGAAGAAACACATTTGAAAGATTCCCCAGAGCCCAAACTAACAGCAATTAGCAGAAAAATTCTAGCAAAGCTAAAGCATATGACCGCATAGGACTCTGGGCCCCTTGTCCGAGAGCTGGTTCAGCGGGAAGAGAAGTCCTGTGGCATAAAAAAAAACTCGTTAGCAGCCAGCCTGATCCAGATAGTTTTGACAGAAAACTAGACCCAATTAATGATATGAAGATGCATAGAGGTCCACTTCACCCTCAAGGAGTCAAGGAGGAATCCTTCCAATTAATAAATGCCTATGCAGTGTATGCACTGAATGACTTCCTGCAAACACAGGCCTTCATTCAAAACATAACCACCTCCAAGTGCGACAAGCAGAAACATGTAGTACTAGCAGGAGACTGGAATACCACTCTAGACCCTGTTAGGGCCTTCATTCAAAATATAACCACCTCCATGTGCGACAAGCAGAAACATATA